ACTGGAACGGATACCCTCATCTCAATCGGGCGGTAAGCCCCATCTCAATCGGGCACAGCGTCCGTCACAGGCTAGAAGTCACTGATGTGAAGAGTTATCTCAATCGGGCAAACGGCCATCACGAATGAATATATCTCAATCGGGCCCTAAGTAAAGCCCGTCACAGATAGCTTTGACCCAGACGACCAGTCAAACTATAGCCCGTCACAGATGACCTATCTCTATCGGACCACAACTAGAGCCCGTCACAGATGACTACTAACCTTTATCGGGCCTAAACTAGAGCCCGTCACAGATGATACTCATCTCAATCGGGCCTAAACTATAGCCCATCACAGATGACTACTGACCTCAATCGGGCCTAAACTATAGCCCGTCACAGATGACTACTGACCTCAATCGGGCCTAAACTAGAGCCCGTCACAGATGACTACTGACCTCAATCGGGCCTAAACTAGAGCCCGTCACATATGATCTCATCTCAATCGGGCATTTAGTTATGGCCCATCACAGATGACTATAATACACAAAAAAATAAATTTTGTTTTTTGGCTAGCCTCAGGCCTTTGCTAGCCATGCCCGCTGCAAAAATGACAGAAACAAACACAGATATCCAATATCCCCAGCTCCCCAGCCTCAACCATTCATATACATATGCATTCACATACACAGACATGAACATATTTCACACAACCACACATTCACAGCCATCTCATATTTCACATCCATTCACATATTTCACATTGAATATTTATCATGTTTCACCAGCAAAACCGAGTTAATTGGAACAAATATTTATTTAGCAAGTCTTAGCATAAACATATGAAATATATACATAAATATAAACATCACAGTTACATCATCACAGTTGCATAATAAGTGTTCATCATTGCCTAAACATAAAAGATCAACATTGTTCATCATTTTAGTTTAAGCCTAAACATTCCTTTGGGGTATTGTCACAGTTCCTTTCCAAGGTACCGTGGTGGTACTGAGTCGCATGGTGACATGTTGTGGGATTGTGTCTTGTGGGTACAGTGGTACACCTCTGATCAGAGTAAAACTATTCGAATAGCCGTGCCCGTGGTTACGGGTGAGTTGAACAATGTTTTTCATGATTAGTCTCACACCACTCATTATTGGTAATTGTGTTAATTAATTTGACTCCTGGTTTGGAATGGCATATTCCTGGTATGGAGGTTTGATTTGTACAACCGGGGTGGTTGTTCAGATGAGGTTGGGCCTATGCAACACGGGTGTGTTGTGTAGTGTTTATTTAATACTGATTAATTATTCAACTGTTTTACTAATCTCCTAAATATTTATTAAATGTTGTTTATGCAAATGAACTTTATTATGCCGTCCTTTGTTATCCTGTGCACTTGCATATTTGCTGTGTGGCTTGTTGAGTATGTCATATGCTAATTCTTGCAATATTCATTCATCAGAGGAGGAGTACTTCAGTGAAGGTGATGTTCTGGAGGACTAGGCTTGATCCGGGTTAAGTTGCTTGTGGAGTGGAGTCACCATAGCTGTTCTTTAGTTTGTTTTATTTTCCGCTGCGTAGAATTTTATTCTTTGAGAGAAACTATCTACCTCTGTAATGATTTATTATTTGTGAATATTAATTCGCTGTTTATTCGTACTCTATTATCAATTTGTTATTATGTGCCTCGGCTGATTCCTGGACGAGGGTTTAACGCACATGTAAGCGTTTGGAATTTTGGATAGAAATTCCGGGGGTGACAAAAACCCACTCCCCTCCACAGCAAAACAAACTAACATTTGCGCCCTAACCATGTACATTTGCTCCCAAATCCATCTCCAAACAAGCAGAACAAACTAACATCTGTCCTAATCATGTATACCCAGTAATAGTACTCGCCATATCTATTCACAAGCAGATATCGCCATATCTATTCACAAGCAGAGAACACAGAGCACACTCGTCCTCTGTGAACACTGCACATCTCCGTTTTAAATTTTATTACTGTTCCACTGTTGCAGTTCAGCTAGCAAGCACACACTGTTCTAAGATCTCAAGGAGAGTCCTGTCGTGGTCGAGATGCCCTGCGCGTGGCATTTTAAATTTTATTACTGCTCCACTCCACTCGGCATTTCCACTGCATGGGTCCATTTACTGAAACTTTTTAAGCTCATCTCCCTCCATCGAGGAGTGCCTACCGATAAGTCGTCAACTCATCTTGGCTTTTTTTATAGAAAAAAACAAAACTGTCAATATTTCAGAGCTCCACGCATATAAAAAAAGAAAACATTTCACAGCTCCAGTTTTTCTCCGGTTTGAGGTGTCAAACGTCGCATATTTCACTACCATAGAAACTAAAATTGGAGACGTCACTACAAACGTACGCACTCTTTGCTCGTCCGGCGTATATAAGGCACACCCCCTCAGTTCTACTATAAACGTACGCACTCTTACTCGTCGTTGCACCGCACAAGTACAGAGAGCACTTGCATGCATATAATAGGTCAGGAGGAACTGGCAATATGCAATTAATCTCTCTGGAGGATTCATCAAGATCAATACTTTGCTTTGCTTGCCTGGTCTCCTAGCTAGCTAATAGTCTCCATTTGATTGATGCTTTTATACTAATTAACTATCACTACTAATTTTCTTATACCAATTAAGTATATGTGTATCAGCATAGTTAATTAATTCACCTAGGAGACTCTTGCTAATGGGTGGTTTATATATATGTCTCATGAGATGATCAAAACTGTGAAGGCAGATTGATGATTATTTATCCTTCTGGCTAATATGTTATGGCCACTTGAGAGGCACAGTTGGAGAAGATAACCTACCACAATCCTCCCATCTTGCGATTTTTGTCGGTTCTCGTAGGCCAATTAGAGATGCAAGGAATCGGGGACTTAATCTAATTAATTAATGAAATGGCAGGACAGTAGTAGACCCTTAATCCCGGCCCTCTGGCCAATTATTCATTGATAATTTTGATAATGACACAATCGCTAAAATTTAACTTTGTCCTTATCGAGTGTCCTGATCATAGTATTATGGAAGTGTTTTAGACAAATCTACTAGCACCATTATATTTTTCACATATTTCCATCTTTACATGCATGCTCGTGTATATATATATACCACAAATTAAAATGAATATTTGCTTGTGGTTAATTAGCACCTCAACTCTCATGGTTCATTTTCTCTCTTGATAAAAATTGGGGATAAATTAACCGATATTTTCCATACCAAAATTAAGCTAATATCGTCAACAATTTTTAAAATGAAAAAAAAATCGTCAAATATTGCGAATATATCAATGGATCAACTTGCATGCCCTAATTATGAGCATTCTTAAAACTCCAAGGAAAAAAAAGACAAAAAAGCTGAAGTGTGATGAATGCATATGTACATATTGCTCCTCCCAAATGGCCGGGAGTATTAATTTAGAACCGAAAGAAATCATTTTTGTCTATCTCGCATTTTTCATGTAAATCCAGTGTGCGATTTCAGTTGGTGAATTGAACTTGGTCATCAGGAGCACCTTTCCAAAAAGTTTCATCTTTGTTCAGACTCTAAAAAAACTACTCCCTCCGTTTCACAATGTAAGTCATTCTAGCATTTCCCATATTCATATTAATGCTAATGAATTTAAACATATATATCTATCTAGATTCATTAGGAACATTATAAATGTGAGAAATGCTAGAATGACTTACATTGTGAAACGGAGGAAGTAGTTGGCAAGTGAAGTTCTTTAGTTTCACTACTACGAAAAGGATTATTCCTAATGCATCTAGATCCGACCACATGAAGCAGCATGATCCATGATGTGCCAGACCACGTTGAGCACATTTGATCTTAACGTATATAGTTCCGACCACGTGAAGCAGCATGGTTCACGATGTACCAGACTTTTAAAAAACCTAGTTGGTAAGTGGGATTTTTTGGTCTTATCTACCCAGGAAAATACAGCACGAATCCACACAGCATGCACATTATGCATGGACTTTTGAAACGAGGATATTCCATCGGTTTCTCTGACAAAGGCATGCATGCTAGTAGTTTGGAATAAAAAAACTAAGGATAAATTAACACTAGCAAAGTAATTAATAATAAATTAACACACATGCTTAATTAGGTACTAGCTGGCAACAAGTTAATTAATTAAATCAGCTCCGTGCATGCAGAGCCTCTGACTCCATCCACAAAATTCGCATGCATGGTGACGTGGCTGGATAGCATCCAAGAAACCAAAGTGAATCACCGATCTATTAGCTCCCTCTTTAATGTTGAAGCAGAGGACGACAAGCCAGCAGCACAGTTAGTAGCTGCAACGTGCAAAAAATTTTAGGCTAGCTAACTCTACTAGCCTCTTAGACACACACACACAAACACAAGTGTAGGAAGAGAAGATTAAGAGAAGAAGGATTGGGTTGGGTTGAATGTTTCAAAATTTGCATCTACTAGGATCCAGTTGCCAACTAGGCACGCACACGCTATGAAACTGTGTGCTGTATGTCTCAAACTGCCTCTCTAATAGCCAAACAAGCCATCACTACAAGAATCTAATTATATGTGATGCTCATTTACGTCATAAAAATTGAATTTTAAGTCATGCTATGAAATCTGTGACATTCGTGTGACAAATATGATTCGTCACCTATCATGCGTCTCTAATGGCGTTCTATAAAGAAAGCTTATCTTTTTATCATTAATCTAGTGATAATCTTTCTGTCGTCATAGAGTCTATGGCGTCCATTTTCGTCGCCATCAAGCCCAGAAAACGTCATAAGATGCCATTTGGCCTTTTAACGCCCATGTAGTCAGGGCCGGCTCAGGGGGGAGGGGGTGCGAGCGGTACGGCCGCTCTAGGCTCCCAAATCGTAGGGGCCCCCACCCACACACCTTGTCGGGTCCCAAAATTAAAGATTCGGTAACCGACATATTTAAACTGTATTAACCCTGGATCAGTAGATTAATACATGTTCAACAATCTGAATCTTCATCGCATACATTTGATTAAGGCTCCAATGGAGATTTCTTTACATAAAATAATAGGGTATTTACAAGATTGTGGCTAACTATTACTGTAGAAGCTACAGGATGAGCCAACTCTAATGTTTTGCTATAGAATTAAACCATCTATCTAATCTATACTTGGGAACTAAGTTAGAATGACACTAATTTATATGATTAAACTCCTGGCTTCGGCAAAAACTCCAAATTGATTCTAAAAGAGGGGGTTAAAGCAAGGGTGATAACAATATACTCATCAAGCTATTATATCAAGTAGTGAATGCATGAAATAGTAATTTCATGTTTTAGGGTAAGCCCTAAACCCTATACAACAAGGTCCCTGGGCATTAGGTGAATTGCATTTAGGTCCATAAGCCCACATGGCAAACAAAGCAATTTTACAAAAAGAACCTTACAACATTTCAATTTCTACTAATTAAAGTCCTTAGCACCTAATGAAGTGGCTAAACAGCCGGGCCCACGTGTCGGTGACTCGGCGGCAAGACAAGCAGAGGCAGCAGGAGAGCAACGGCGACCGACGGCCTTCGTGGCGGCGTATTGGCTTGATCATATGTGGGCGTCGTTCTCCTGGGACCTAGGCGACGTCAGTGGCGCAATGGTACAGCCGGAGATGATTCGAGTCGACGGGAATGACAAAGTGGGGCGATGGTGGAGCTCTAGACACCGGGAACACCGACGAGCGCACCACCAAGTGTTCGATCTATGCCAAAAAAGAAACAAAGAAAATGGATCGATCAAGTAGAGAAGGAATTTCATGAATCACTACTACAGAAACGATTTTCCTGGATAGGGACCTTTTAGATTCCGTGCGGGCGGTATCTCGTTGCTTCTGGGAAAATCGGCTCATTTTCGCGTGCGGTCCATTAAAGAGGACGGCACGGAAAAATCAATTTTTCCGTGTAGTAACTCGTTGCGTCTGGGAAAAATCGATTTTTCCGTGCGGTCTTCTTAAATGGACAGCATGCGAAAATGAGCCGATTTTCCCGTGCGGACCTATTAAGAGAGCCGCATGCAGAAATACTAAGTCCCTCTTTCCTCTCTCACCCACTTTAAAATTTCCACTCTTTCTCTCCTCTCCCCTCCCCTCTATCCCTTTTTCCACTTTAAAATTTCCACGCAGAGCATCTCCTCTCAGTCTTCTCTGTCTCACGCCTCTCCTCTCCTCTCTCCACTCTCCTCTCCTCTCCTCCCGACGGCGGTAGCGGTGGTGGCGTGTGGCGACAGCAGCGGTGCGACGGCGGTGGGAGTAGGAGCGCGCAGGCCTGCTCCACGTGGCGGCGGTGGAGGGCGTTGGATCCGGCGGGCGGCGGCAGTCCCTACACGGATCCAACGGTGGTGGCCGTCAATGCAAGAATCCAGCGGTGGCGGCCGTCCCCGCACGGATCCGGCAGCCGGCCGCCATCTCCCCACGCGGGATCCAGCTCCCCTCCTCTCCCCTTCCTTCCCTCCCTAGATCCGGCAGAGGGGAGGGGCGTCGGCGGCATTGCGGCGGGAGGGAAGCGCGGATCTGCCGGCGGGTGGCGCGGAGGCCGGCGGGAGGCAGGCGGCACTATGGCCGTCGGGCGGAAGCCCACTGCCGGATTCTTGGGTTTCGTTTTTTTAAAAAAAATTATGTTATTTCGGATTTTTGTTTTCCCGTGGGGATGCGCCACCCGCACGCAAAAATCATCATTTTCCCAGACCCCTAGGTGCGTGTGGGCCGCCTACCCGCGCCCAAAAATCATTTTAGCCCTCACACAAAAATCTTGGTTGTAGTAGTGAATGGTAAAAGTGAAGGTGCAAAGTGAGAGCTAGTTGTCAACATGAGGGGTAGAAACGATTTAAAGGAGTTGGCAGTGGTTTGAGGCTGTGATCCTACTTGTACTTCACTCAACCAAGTATGAGTGGCTGTCTAGTGGCCTCATGTAGATGTTTCCTAGGAGAAGATGAGAGGTATGGTGAAGTTTGGGTGTAAATTGGACTTTAACTCCCTCTCTCTCTCTTTCATTGTCTCTTTGAAAATATAATTTAGGATCAAAGAGATGATTCACCAAGGTTGTTTGTAGGTATTTGGAAAACAAATAGGCCCATATATAGATGTTTCCTAGAAGGCTTGGAGTGGTAGAGTGGCATTTTGGGTGGAAATTCAATTTAAACCCTTCTCTCACCTTTTGAGAAATAAAAGAAGATTTAAATGAGAGAAGAGCAGATGATGTGTTGGCTAGGGTTGTATGATGAGTGGGCCCCATAAGGACTTGGTCCCACATTTAAGAGAGATGTAGAAGGAGAGAACTAGAAGCTCTAAATTTTCCATGTGTTGGCACTATCACACTAAACTATATTACTCTCTTTCTCTCATCCATTTAATTTAGAATTAAGGCCGGGGGAGGGGGGGTGACAGGGAGACAGCAAGGTAGACAAGGATTTGATGGTTCAAGGTGCCAAGTTCCAAAGTTTAATTACTTTTGCTTTTACCATGGTAATTTAGTAAAGTTGACTAGTTAATCTATTGACCACAGTCCAGAATACTGTTTACCTAACTTATGGCTCTCATTTTATGAGGTTACATTTCGAATTAGACTAAGCCATTGCACCAGATGATAGAGTAAAGTATGCTTAACATTTTGACCTAGAGATTTTGCAAGATGAGTTATGGTTTAATTTTGGTGAAGGTGCAAAGTAGGCTAATTGGTATGCTGTTTCCAGATTTTTTAGCTGAGTTCAAGGATTTATTTGGGTTACCAATTGATGTGATAAATTATTATAACTAAAATTTCTGGGAGCTTAGGGTATTGTTTAGTATTTATGAGAATTTTGGTGGGATTTATTGTTGCCTCATTTATTTTTAGGAATTTTCTCTTTAGACAAAGCATGCATATGCAACCTATTATGAGATGTACCAAGAATATCCAAAAACAATCTTAAAAGAATAATATGCAGATACAAGCAAGTTCTTTTTATCTCAATTTAGGTTTGCGTATTTTGATACCTACCTTTCAATTTGTTTGATATTTAACTTAAATATATTTTTTTAGTTAGGTTGAAAATGCAAAACCGAGAAGATTAGGTTTCTAGTTTATGGTCAAAGCAAAATTTTTGTTTCAAAATTTTTTACCACAAGATTTGTAAACTTTTACTTTTGGACTTAGTTTTGATTTGGCCAGAAAAATTATGTGTTTTATTTTATTTTAGGGAGTTATATGCTCTAGTATGCTTCTATGTTCACCAAAAACTTTTGAATTCAAAATGTTTTAAATTTTCCACAAAATTTTTCCATGGTGAAATTCCTTGTATGTTACAAGTTGATATGTGAAATAAAATTTTACCTTGTAAAATATGACTTGGAATAGTTTTATTAACTTCTCAATAATTAATTATGCTCTCTTAAATTTTCTTGAAATTTTCCGAGCTAAAGAAATAATTTTAATAATACTAACATAATTTCGGTCATTATTTAAATTGAAAAAACAATTTAAAATTCTCTTCATATCTTTTGGCTGAAACCAAGCCAACTACTATCCCTCTCCGTGCAGGCCCAAAGCCATGCCAGGTAAAGTCTATCTCTTTTCCTTCCTCTCCCTAAATAGAAGCCAATAAGTCTAGTTTACATCGGTCTATGAAAGAGCCCCAGTTCCTCCCCCCCCCACCCGCCGATGTCGTTGGTGCTGATAGATGTGATGCCCACACCTCAGGGATCCGCGCGCCATGGTGAGCAGCCGATGAATCTTCCGCCATCTCCTGTCCTTCCGTCGTCTGACGAGGTAAGGTTTTCCCCCCCGATTACCCCCATTGCTACCTAAGTTGGTGATTCATTGGTAGATCTACTTGTGGTTTAATGTGCAAGAATGCTTGGTAGATCTGGTTGTTGTTGAAAGTGCAAGAATGCAAGAATGAATGGTGTGAACTAATGCATATGTCCTGGTATGCTTATTTCAAAGTACTGTGCATATGTGTATTATACACAAGTTAGCATGCACATTGATCTTTGCCTCTTTTGCCGTAGGCCCTAGTATGCATATGTGTATTATACCATACTGTATTATGTACTTATAATGTGAAATTATATGTGGAATGCTCCACTGCATATTTGCTCTTGGTTAATTAGTTTAGGAAAAATTGCAAATATGATCTTGTGAGAATTTGTGAAGTACATAGAAGGCAATTTGTTTTGACAATGAAGTATGGTTTGTTGTTTGTTAATTTAGTTCTCCGTAATACTGCCTAAATTTAAATGTATGTTTGGTGAACTGAAATAGATATGGTTAGTGATGTCATTGTTTTTTAACGACTATTTGTCCTTGTGAGTAAGGTTGTCATTCCTCAGGTTTACTGCCTTTAGTGTGGCTATATGTCTCCCAAACCTGAGAAAACGAGGAATGTGATAGTAGCCGAGAAATTGATCATGTTTCCTCCCCCCCCCCCGCCTCTTTTGCTTTCCTACTAGGTTTTGCAATAATTTTTGGCATGACAATCTTAATTATGTCCCATAGTCTAAAACTCACAAAAACATCAGAAATCCGCTAAGAATAAATTAAGTAAAGAACATGCATACACAAATAATATTAATCATGTCGTAATAAATTGCTAAGGTCAGAGACCATCGGATGACACAATGGACAGTGCTATGGCCTTATTAAAAGCAGCAAGAGAAATTAAATATGCTTGTGAGCGCACACATGCACGACATACATAGAGTTGAGACCAACAGATGGATCCACTATAGATCGCCCCATATGGTCAACAATTTATTGAAGATAACATTAACATAACTTGGCCATAACTTGAAGCAAAACAACATATTCTTATGATAGGCATTAAGACTGGTAGCAATGCAAGCATGTTGTTTTAGGCTTGTCCTTCCATCTTAGCAAGAACTCCCATTTCGTCCATCTTAGCAAGAACTCCCATTTCGTCCATCTTAGCAACAACTATGAAATTAAAATATGAAAATCCCATTAGCGCATTAGTTAATTTTGTAGTGGAAGTAGAGCATAAGATGTCTTCGTGTTGCAAGATACATGCCTGAAGTCGTGAGATTGGAAGTGAAATCAACAAAGCACATTGAGGAAAATGCATGGAAGGCCACACATATGTATTAGTCCACGATATGCTACAAAGTCTGTATCTACATGTAAGAAATGCATTAAATAGAGTGACATTAGTGAATTTACCAGAATCGGCCAGAATACATGGGAAACAACAAGTGTTCTTGTAGACTGAGTCGGAGCCACCAGCAGCAGTACAACCGAAACAACATGCTTTTGCCTAAGAGGATATGCAGCAGCCGCACTGTGCCGCGGTGGCGGAGTCGACAGTGAGGCTCAAGATGACCAGGCACATGATCACCATCGAAGTGGTAGTCCTCTTTCCCTCCATTGCCTCCTGTTGCTGATGCTACCTTCCCTGGTTATCTTGCTATGTTTCTTAGTTTTGTGTTGAGAGGTGATTCTTGAATGTAAGGTGCTGCTGCTATTTATAGGCAGAAGCATTATGTGATGATATGGATAAGGTGCAAATGGATCGTCCTGGTATGGATAAGGTGCGAATGGCTACCTACTTGTATATTATGGATATGGTGCAAATGGCTACCTCCGTTGTATGTATATATCAGCGGAAAAGATAACAGCGAGCTAAACCGGGAAGCTTGACTTCAGCAGCGGGGCGACTCCACTCCACAGGCAATCCTTGACGGCAGCGATGAAACCAACCTCTCTGAGACGGCTCCAACTGAGAAGAACTTCAACTCTGGTGTGGGGGAAAAGAGAGCAAGACTGAGTACTACCCACTGTACTCAACAAGTTATACCGGAAGAGGAGGTATGATGCATGATATAACCAAAGGAGGCTAGGGGTTCTTTTGCATAAGCTAGCATTTAAAAACAGTAGTTGAAAGTAGTAAAACAGTTGTAGTAATTAAGCAGTACTGACCAAATCACTGTCCAACGCTACACCACGTTGCAACAGGCCCAATCAACCACCTGAACTACACCAGTTCATTAAACTAAACTAGGGGTGAGACTAATCACGGTAAATCTGGTTGATCGCCCATAACCGCGGGCACGGCTATTCGAATAGTTTTACTCTGGCCAGAGGTGTACAACTATACCCACAAGATACGATTCCACACATGTCACCATGCCCCGAAGTATCACCATGATACTGCAAAGGGGGAAATCGTGACAAGACCCTCCGCATAACCCTCCCCTAACTATCCACACCACGCTAAGGTTTCACTCCCACCACTCAAAAGGCAGTGGGCGGTCCCCTCTTGCGCCGCGGTGAATCCGGCAGCTGGACAACCGGACACCCCGGCTGACCCAACTCCATCACGCCCACCCTCGCCACCGGTGCCTAGGAAAGGGTCGAGCTATACTTCAGATCAAGCAGTTACCCACTCCCGCTTGTGGTAAGCACGGTAAGTCTCCCAGGGTTTCCCGTGAACCGGTCCTTAATTGCCACGGGTGCGACCAGCAAAACCGTGCACCCACAGCCCACCATTCAGTGTATTTTAATTAACTAACACCATTGCGGTGGCACCAATCCAAAGCTATTGCCAATAATCAAAGTCAATGCTTTAATGTGATTCCCTTTTTGTGTACTAGTAGAACTAAGCATGGCTAAGCATTTCCTAAATCAACATCTAGTCATTTTAAAACCCAAGTTGCCAATGGCATAAGGAAATCAATATATGGCTGAGTAGTAGGACCCATCCCACGTGATATTGTAAAAGAATGCAACATTTAATAGAAATGCGAGATATTGGTAAATTGGGTACAATATGATCAACGTATTGCATGACTTGCCTTGCTCTCGCACTAATGAGACCTCAGCAACGTCTTCGAGAAACCGCGGATCGACGAAACGGCCAAAATCTACGCGACAAACAAAGCACACAAGCAAAACATGCTATAAGACTACTGAAACAGGAAACCAAACCATTTTTAATGGATTCTTCGCATTTTTCTTGATTTACTGAGACTTGAATGGACTTAAACGGAGCTCGGATGAATTACTTATGAATTTTAGAAGATAAACTGTGTTTATTACTATAAAAGAGAAGCCTTGATGTATTTATTGCGCAATAAGTCCCAGGACTGACGTCATCCAAAAGGGGGCGGCGCCGACATGCGGGACCCACGGGTCAGCGGCTCAAGGGGGAGGTCGGTCCACCGTGGACCAAGTCCACGGGGCCGAGGGTGGTACCCGGCGGGTGGACCCCACCAGGCGGTGGCTCAAAGGGGAGGGGAGGGAGGTGCCGGCCTGGCTCGGCTCGGCTTCAAAGCCGACCGGCGGCCATGGCAACCGGCGGCGACGCGCACGGTCGCCGGCGACGGCAATCGGCGGCGCGGGAAGCGACGGCGGACGGTGTATAGGACGGCGGCGTCGACCGAAGGCGACGGCGAGCGCATGAAGAGAGGCGGCGCAAACAAGAGAGAGGGGAAGAGGGAGGAGAGGGGATCCTCACCGGCGAGTATGGCGGCCGGAGCGGAGGATGAAGGTGGCGGCGACAACCCGGCGATGAGGAGGGGCGGACGGGCGGCGGCAGCACCTACGGAGGGAGTTGTGAAGGATTAGGAGTAGAGAGAGTGACCACGGCAGCCACCATTGTTGGCCGGAGACGAATGAGAATGGATAGCTCACCGGCGTGCGAGGAGAACCGGGCTCCGGTGGGGTTCAGCGGAAACCAAGCGGCGGCCGAGGTGGCTCACGCGGCGGCAATGCTAATGGCGGCGGCGGCTTGGCGCAGCGGCGGCTCTAGCGGCTGCGGCGCGCGACCGGAGGTGGCGGCAAGCGGCGGCGCTAGTGGCGAGTGGCGCGGCGGCGGTAGGAGGCACGGGAGAGCGTAGCGAAAAGGGGAAAAGGGAGAGGGGGATGCAGGGAAGCTTTATAGGGGCTCGAGAGGGGCGGACATGGCCGGGAAACCCCCCGATTTGGCCGGCGACGTGGGGGGGAGAGAGAGAGAGAGTGGGGGGAATTCTAATCGAATCCCGCCCATTTGCAGGCGCGCGCGCGGGCGAGAATGGCGGGGAGGGCGGCGACGTGGGGACGCGGAGCGGGGGTGCGGATGTGGAGGAAACGGGCGGCGTGGGGAGGTGGGGGCGCCGGCGGTTGCAGCTCGGCTCCAACCGGCTGGAGGAGGAAGACGGGGCCGACAGGTGGGCCCCACCTGTCGGTGACCCGGAGAGAGGAGGGAGGGAGACGTGGGTCGGGCCCAACAAGGAGGAGGGCAGCGCGGGAAGAGTGGGCCGACGGCCTAAAGGAGGAAAAGAAAAGAGGAAAAGAAAAAGATTTTCCTGGGATTATTTATTGCGGTTTAATGTTTTTAATTGGTTAAAATTATTTCGAGAGCTCTGAAAATTCCACTAAAAATTTTGTTAGCGAATTTCGACATGTAGAACTCAAGAAAAATTCCACATGCCAATTCCGATTATTATTTGCATTTATTAATTAAGGAATTAGCTCTAAGTTAATCAAACAATTTCTTCGCGCAATTCATTTAACCATTTTTTTAAAGCAAGGAAAAAGGGGGAAACTTCAGGGCGTGACAATACAGTTGATGGATGTACATGTTTGTTGCACAATCTCTGAACAAACTCTTCATATCTAGTCCTGCGTACCAGGCAATTTTACATTTGCACGCTTTCGCCGATGGACAGAATAGAAGATTTTCAGATACACTTAGGTCGTACCCGTCAAATGAAGGTAAAAGGCAACGAGTAACATTGTTTTAAGTGTACTATTGAGTAGTCCTTCATAAGATAACTTAGTTGTGTTTGTAGCGTACTATGGCGTAGTAGACGAGTTAGTACCATGGCTGGCTTGCATTCCATGTGAGTCCATGTTAGTTTAGTTAGGCTCCCCAACGTGAGTAAGTGACCGAATAGGTTTAGAAATGGTATATTTCTAGGTCTAGCTAGCTTGCCTATGTAGGTTAATATGTGTGTATATTATCGCACAAGGTCGGAACTTTTTTGAAATTCGATACTGTACTTCTTACAAATACTACCTCCGTTTCTATGAATAACACACATGCTCGTTTTTGACCGAAAGAATTGAGAAACAAAGAAAAAATCTTATATTTAGTAATTGGAGGCACCAATAAAGCTTCCACGCTAGTTAATTGATGTCACGTAATTTTTCTAGCCCATGCAAGTGCACAGGTTGATGACTAATAATATATACATAGAATTATTGTATTCATATTGAAAAACACGTTGAAATGATGCTAATTTTCTATCAAATATCTTTGTAAATTAAAACTAATTCTTGGTCAAAGATAAATCTTAAAATACATGCGTGCCATATTTATTGGAATGGATGGGGTTATGTTGGTGCTAATGAATCTTATTGTTATCGAACTACCGCTCGATGCCCTTGTACATACTGTACAGTGCAAGAAGCGTGTAGCATGAGAGCCTTTAATGTGTTGTCAAGTCCCGATCCTGCATGATGTCTATTTGGGAGGAGCAATATGTACATATGCATGCATCACACTTCAGCATTTTTGTCTTTTTACCTTGGAGTTTTAAGAATGCTCACACTTAGGGCATGCAAGTTGATCCATTGGTATATTCACAATATTCGCAACGCCATGATGAAGGCTATGAAAATGACAATGATACATGATTGGTAACATAACTATCAACATTTCAGAGCAAAATATGGAGCATTTAGGCCAATCAAACTTTCAATTTTCTTCGATTGCTGCTCCCTTGATGCCTCAGATTCATCTATCACTTTCTTGAAGGAATCCAACTCTTGCAACAACAGCAGTTTTGTCGCTTCTATTGGGGCGGCTGAGTCAAGGCCGGCATAGAAAAATTTAAGAGTAGGTATGGCCATAACAAAATCGTCTAGCTTAGATATAGCATAAATGGTGAAAGATAGGCATAGAAAAATTCATGAGTTAGGTATATGTATATTTGGCA